AGATAATAAAGAGTACTTATTTGTTTTTGCTTTACACTTAAGTTTAAAAATATTTGTGGCAATCAGTGTTCGGTGTGTGTGGTTTTGGTGATGGAAGGGGCTGAGATGAGGCCAATAGGGCAGATCGTGGAGAGAATGGACTTCATATTTTATGTGAAAAGAATTTAGGCATGTTATGTGATGCAATCCTGGTGTTGTGTGACTATCAAAAAACTTCCCAATGACAACCTAATACAAGCTTACCTACATTAATGATCTGGAAAAGGGAAGTAGCAATCATATTGTGCTCCAGTGTGACTACACCTCATCTAGATTGTTTTTGGGATCATTGAAATGCTTGTAGGAGGCTCAAAGAAGATGGAATGGTATGACAACAAATTTAAAAATTATTGTATAAGAGGAAAGACTGGATGAGTTGGTGAGGCTTAGCCTGAACAAGAGAAGACTTAGCAGAAACAAGCAACCAATTACTTTTTAAATTAAACTTATTTTAAAAACCTAGGTAAATGACTCATATAATCAAAAAATTAAAGTGATGTAAAAGATATCAGTGCTTCTACTTCTGTTTCTACTCAGTTCCTCTATCCTGTTTAGGTATGATTTTTCATTCCTTTCTTTTGAATCCTTCCATAGTGATTCTTTTTCTTTCTTTCTTTCTTTTTTTTTTAGATTTTTTTTATTTATTTATTTATTTATTTATTTATTTATTTATTTATTTATTCATGAGAGACACACAGAGAGAGGCAGAGACAAGCAGAGGGAGAAGCAGGCTCTCTGTGAGGGAGCCCAATGTGGGACTCAATCCCAGGACCCTGGGACCACAACCAGAGCCAAAGGCAGATGCTCAACCACTGAGCCACCCAGGTGCCCCCACAGTGTTTCTTTAGGCAAGCAAATACACATATACAAAAGGAATCAAGCAATGTATGTTATTTTGCGACTTAATTTTTTTTCTTAATACATTTTGGAGATCTTTCCGTATATATAAAGAAGGTGCCTCATTTGTAGTTTAAACAGTTGTTTACAATCCCATTCTGTGAAAGCATCACACGTAACTTAATCAGGCACAAAAATCAATGTTTGAGTTCTTGCCCATGTTCTGTTTTTACAATGTTGTTATTCACAGGAAAAAAAAACACAAGAAGAAATGAGCAGCAATGCTGATTTTTCACCTCAAATTAGTGCAGGCATATCCATAGGACAAATTCTCAGAAGTGGGGCCCCAGGTCAAAACCTAACTATGAATTTTTAACCTGAAAGATATTGCCTTATTGCTGTCCATAGGAGTGGTCCCAGTTTGCATATTTCAAGAGAGCAGTAGACGGGAATGCCTGTCTTCACAGCCTCACCCACACAGAATGTGCTCAAACTCTTGGAGCTTTGCCCACCCGCTAGGTGAGAAATGGCATCTCAATGCAGTTTCAGTTTCTATATGTCTCTGCTTATAATTGTAGGAGAATATCTTTTCACATTTTGGGGAGCCATTTTTTCCCTCTTAGAACTCTATGCTCAAGCCCTCTGCACAATTTTGCACTGTATTGTGTAGCGGCCATTAGTGTCACACCCTTGCTCTGCTGGCACTCACCTCTGCAGACTGGAAGCTACTTGTGTCAACACCTGTGATGCTTGGCCTGCAGGCATTGCTTTCTGGCCACAGTGGCATATGGGGCAAGAGTACAGCAAAAGTCAGAAGAGCCAGAGGTTAATGCCCTAGAAGCTTTTTTGATCCAATAACAAACAGGGATTTGGTGCATAAAACTCCCATCTTCCTTTCCTCTTGATAGGGAGAAATCTGAGATCTATTTAACACTGTCTTCCAGAGTTTCGCTGTGGAGTTGAGCCCACAGTGGAAAATGGCTTGAAAACCCACACTTTATTCCTTCTCTACTTTCCTACTCCATTCCAAGTACTTAATGATTTCATTTCCAAAGTAACCTAGTTGTATTAGAATTCTTGCCTCAGTCTTGGCTTCTGGAGGAACCCAAGCCAAACCATGTAGTCCTGTCCTTGAGTGCTATTCCAAGGGTAGTCTGCAGATGATGCTGGTTTGTGACCTGCTTGTTACCCATCGGATACATTCAGAAATTGAGCATAAAACCTTAGAAACTTTCAGGTTGTCTGGGTTGTGCAGTCGATTAAGCGTCCGACTTTTGGTTTCAGCTCAGGTCCTGATCCCAGAGTCTCTAGATGGAGCCCTGCCTTGGGCTCCACCCTTAGCATTGAGTCTGCTTGAGATTCTCTTTCCCTCTCCCTCTGCCCCTGCTCCCACACACTATTTCTCTCTGAAAATTAAATAAATCTTTTTTTTTAAAGAAAGTTTTATAACAATTTGATGTTACCACAGTATTTAAGCATGTGATTTTGTGTTTTACACTGTGGTGCATGCAGGCACACAAACACAGAATCTTCGGTGAATTGGCAAAAACAAAAACAAAAGATCTGGCTTTTACCTCAGATAGCTGGAATGGCACTACTTTATATGATGGTACTAAGAACAATGGGTGGAAGTACAACTGGAAAAATTTTGGTTACATATAAGAGAATTTTCTAATTGCCTAGGGTGCCTAGAACAGGAAGAGATGGCAGTCAACACTTATGAGAAGAGTGAGCCTGTTTAGCTGGCTAGCTGTAGAGACTGAAGAATCCTGTACTCAGTGGCAGAGCTCTTCCATTTCAATAGATTCTACTACTCTGTCTTAATGAAATTTGAGCAGTAACTCATTCCTTTTCTTCTCTCTCATTTTCATCTATCTTCATTTTAAGTAGTCTTTCCTCTTAGGTTTTGTATTTTATTTGCTTGCTCTAGTGTTTTTTTTTCCCTTCTCTTTCTTTACGAGAAAGGATTACAAGAAAATGGAATCAATATGCTGGTTGTGTTCTTTAAAAACCTGTTGACTATTTGAAAATGATCAGGGAAAGTTTAATTCTAGTTGGTCCTGTTTTGATAGCTTTTGGTGTACTGTGAGTTCTATTTCAACAGCTGAGAAACTGTCAACTAGGTCATGTACTGAATCTTTTTTTTTTAAAAACACTAAAATTTCTCAACTGGTATTGAAATACTAAGTGAAAAGTATTATGAGATTTCCAAGGTGAGTCACTAGATCTCAAGAACAAATATGTTCACTCAGTGCATAAAGCACTAGAGTGAAACCAGAGAGAAAGAAAACATTTGTCTTTGAGCTCCTGGAAAAGAATTCCACTGTCCTCGGCTACTCTTCAGGTTAGGGGTTTAGTCGGCCTCCAGCTGAACCAAACTCTCCCTGATGCATAGGACAGCTTGTCAGACTGGAATGGAAAGATTAACATGGCAGTTACAGCAGAGTTGAACTCAATGCTGACACTGCAAACTTCAGGTCACTACAATATTACAGGATGTACTAAAATCAATACTAGGCAAATGTGGAGTGTTAAGGACGGGCAGTCAGGAATATTGAAAGTGCTAATGAACTTCCTTTTTAAGCAATCTTTCAAAAACCGTGCTTCAGTCCATCCAGCCTAATATATGGATTTGAAGGAACATTTTGGAAGCCAGCGTGAGTGTCCTCCAATCTCTGGTAATGTTGAAAGGGACTGGTTATGGAGGCACACTGTCTCCAGTTCTGATTGCAGCTCTGCCTCTTACCAGGCAAGGCACTCAATGCTTTTAAGGCTCAGTTTTTTCTTCTGAGAAATGGGGATAATTGGTATGATGATTAAGTAAGATTATGTGAAGTTTAGCACAAGTTTTCCTATAGTATTAAACAACGAACATTATTATTAAAAGACTTGCAGGATCCTCTTGAAGCAGGAAACATGTAGAACTGGATGCTTCTGTCTTATTAGGCTAGGGCAGGGGTGCACTGTCCTGATCATCCTTGCTCCCCTTTTCTCTGATGTCAATTCCTTTCCCTTTCAACCTTGGCCTTGCTCCTCCTCATTGTGGTCTTTTTCTTCCTTCCTCTTAGCTGGGAGTTCAGGGGGTTTCAGAGGGAATTACACTGTGTGCAGCTATAAATTTGGAGTGTCTGTGGGAGGAGCCTCCTCAGTTGCCATGTCGGCCTGGAACTCTCTGGGCTTTGACTTGAGCTTGAGGAAAGGCAGTGTAGAGGAGAGTAACTAGAACTCTTTTTTCCTTTATTCTCCTAAACAAATCTTTAGAAGAGTGGAGGATTTTTCTACATTTTAATTCTAACTCATAATAGAGAATTGGAGCAGGATCATGCAAGGATATGTTTGGCGTGTGAGTGTGTGATGGACAGGTGGTATGGATGCTGTTAGTAGGGGTAGAGACTAAAACCAACACCTGGACTGCCATTCTACCTTGACTTTGGGATGAGGTCCAGAATCTTTTGGGGTTCCTGGAGGTAGAATTCATTATATACTTTCATCATTGTCGTGGCTCTTTTCTGGTCCCTGAACGATTAATGCATGAAGAGCTTTAAGTGCAATTTGTAATTGAAGTAGCTTGTGAGTAGGGGCTTTTCTATTTGCTTCTAGCTTGTTCCAGATTTATAGCCTCTATTTATCAGTTTTTATCTTGCTTTTGAAAGAATGATCAACCCATCAGGGCTGTTGCTGTCCAGTTGTGCAGGGCGTTTAATGTCTGGTCTGCTGGCTGAAATCCAACCTGAAGTCATCCATTGGTGAAATCATTAGCCTCGTCCTGTTGGTATCTACCTGGAGGAAGGAAAGCTTTATTTCCCCCCTACTTCTCACCAAAGTCCAGTGTGGGATAATACACCCCTCCCTCTGGCCAGCTAATGCTCTCCCCTCTTTGAGAGCAAAACACAGACACATAGGATATTGGAGTGTACCTACTGCTGAGCTCAAGTATGTATTACATAAAACTGCAAATCTGTTAATGTGCTTTAGAGCTCATGTACTGCCTCTCCTTTTCCTTATGCCTGAAGGGAGGTATTTTTACTTCCAGATGCTGGAACTACTGTGATTTAAAACCTTTTAATCATTTTTTTTTTTGGAATGCCAATGAGTCAAAACAAGAATTAAACAAAACTGGAACATATTTTTAAAATAACATTTAATGAATACAAACTTACAAAAGTAGTCATCCCTTAACATGGGGAGAGCATACAAAAATAAAAGGTCTATGAGCTTAAAGCTTTTCCTAGAATACAGTGCAGCTTAGTCTAACTTTTTTATGCAAAACAGTTTGGATTTGTTAAAAGCTGTACAGTTCACTATTTCCATCTACTCCAAACTCATTCTTTCCAACCCAATGTAAACTAGAGGAGTCAGCTGTGTTAGGATAATCAAGTTGGTTTGGTGGTTTGGGGAGGAAGGATTTGGAGAGGAACAAGAGGAGGAAATTGGCTTCCCTGGTCCATTGTGAGGCTTGGAGCCCTTATGGTTGAGGCCAAGGGTCAGGCTTGGCACTGTAAAACACCAAAACCACTGGAGGTGTTCTTCAACTTCTGGCTTCATGGATGGCTTTTCTTAACTACACAGGCAGAACATTTTTACTAGGTTATAAAAATAGAGTTTTACTCTAGGTAGGCTTGGTTTTACCTCAGTGTGGCATTTCAATTTTATTGACAAACTATGGCCCAGTAAAAGCTCTTTACCAAAAAGCATGGCTAACCCCAGAGGCTTTCTTTACATCAACCTGGATAGTATTTAATTTTGAAGCAACCATTCTCTAGAAAAAGAGCAGCCTTCAACTCTGGAACACTTACATGGCTGTTTTGCACAAAATGGAGTAGATGAGTAGCAACATTTTCTGTCTTTTCCCTTGATGCTCTAGGGTCAGCATCACACACCACAGGTCTGCTCACAGTTTTCCAGGATTTTCGTAACCTTGCTTAGGTGGGTCATGGATAAATGAATGAAGCATGTGTTCTGTGTACCTTCTCAGTGTACATGAACTGATATGAAAGACAAAATCTATGAAAGGTATGATGAAACCAGTGCCTTCATCCAATGCAAATGATATGGACAAGGTTAATTTAGAAATAATTTGGCAATATATATTAAATGATATTAAAAGTTCCTTAATTTTGTAATCTCAATTCTTGCCAAGTATTCTAGTGAAATAATTTTAAAAATGGAAAAGAGTTATAAGTGCTAAGATATTCTCTGAAATGTTATTTGTTTTAGTAAAAAACAGATATAACCTACATGTTTAGTATAATGGTTGAATAAATGCCCATTTGATGTAATATAATTCAGCCACTAATAATATACATATATCATGTAAGTCAGAGAATAAAACCACTGATACATTAAGTGAAAAAGGAAGGATGTAAAATTGAATATAGATGGAACTATTTTCAAAAAGTTTTATAGAGAAATATCCTAGATGGTGGGTGATGTTTTAATATACTTTAATCATTTTGCATCATGTAGATATGATAAGTTGAAAAAAAAAAAGAAAAAATAGATGGCCTTTATAAGGCAGGCAGAAAAAATGTCAATCTCAAAGCCTTTTGTTTATTTCGGTTTGTGGAAAGAGGGCACATGAGGCTCCTTTCAGCTCCATGCATGAGCCAAGAAGGCCAATCCTACTGAAGGTCATCTTGGAAATGGCACTATCATTAGAGATGGAGGAAACCATCCTGCATTCCAGCAAAGATTTGAGAATGAACCAAGTCTCATATTGCAGCTACTGTTCATACCTCTCTAACCCTAAGATTTTAAATAATTCTCTTTCATCTATGCATTGGTCAAATATATACTTTCATTATTCATTTAATTTCACTGCTTAAAATTATAGTAAGCCTTGATATAGTAAGCCACTTTTTAATACTAGAAATCCATTTCATAGATGATTAGTATTGAACAATATTTGGAATATTCTATTCACCAAGCATACCATAATACCTAAATCATGCAATCCTAGTATAGTGCAACTTTACAAAATTCATTTAGCTTGCTATCTAAAATTCTGTTTTTTTTTTTTCTTTCAACTTTTTGTGCAAGGGCTTTTATCAACCCTTCCTTGCTTATTGTATATTGAGAAAATCCAAGCGGATATCTCTCAATTTTAACTCAGTGTACACCTTTCCCTACACCTATTCCTTTTAGAGAAAGGATCTTATGACAAGAATAATAGATTTGCATATATCCAACCCATGGTTACTTCCAATCAGTTGTGATATTTTTGTGGTGTTATAAAATAGTTCTCCACAGTACAGATCCATGTTGGCAAAAGCAAAATCAAAGAGTACATTAACTACAGAATTCACTATGGCAATGCTTATGATCACCTTCACTTACAAAGAACAGTAAGAAAAATTCTCATGTCTTTTACTTCATTTGGTCCTCCTTCTCAGATGTATCTCAGTACTGTTTCTTTTTCTTTGCATTCAGCTCTTGAACCAGAAAAGGAAGTTGCATGTATTTCCCCTGGATTTTGCAAGACATTAGGTCATGCATGTTGCCCAAAGCAAAAAAAACTTTTTTTTTTTTTTTTTTTTTTTTTTTTTTTTTGCAAAAAAACTTTTTAGTGTGAAACCACAAAGCTAACTGTGACCTTAGCCCCGCTGCCTCCGGGAAGAAGAGAGGCAGGGACCTCCATAGATTCATCACTAACCTGAGATTAAATGGCAATCTATTCCTGTCAATTTCTAAAAGTCAGGCAGCAGTTCCTTCTCTGTTAACAAACTTTAAGCCATAGTGGGAGAAAAATTCTTTCTTAGCTGTGTGCATTACGTAGTCTCCTCTAAATATACAATACTATAATTGAGAGTCCAGGTGAATTGAGCTTTGCTTTAAATATTGTCCATCTGATGTTGGTTTTGAGTTCCTCTCCCAGCCCTGGCGGATTCGTGTAAGGGTCTTGTCTATACATGGCAGGATGAGGATAAACTTGATCACCAGCACGGTGCAGGGAATGATGAGCGCTATCACATAGGCTGAAGGAAGATACCATATGAGACTTGCAGGACTGAGGAATCTCTTTCCGCCGTACACCAAGGTGTGGGCTGTGCACAAGATCAGGGTCAAGTAACCCAGTTTGGACTATATAAGCAAGAAAAAATACATATAAAAAAAGAAAAAATACATATATATTAACACTATATTTATAACTTAAAGTGAAACACTCTAAGCCAATGAAGAATATTTATTACCAACCACAAACCTTTGACATCTGTACCATTTAGAACACTCTTCTAAGTACTGGAGAAAGCATTAACCCTCCTTTGGGATGACAAATATTTCATTAAAAAAAGATTGTGCTTACAAATGATATGGTGGTTTTATACTTTTAAAAAAATTATTCTTGAAGTAGAGTTGGCATACAATGTTGTATTAGGTTCAGGTGTCCAACAGCTTGATTCAACAATACTATACATTTTGTATGCTCACCATGATAAGCATAGGTACCAGATATCACCATACAACATTATTACAATATTATTGACTATATTCCCTCTGCTGTACTTTTAATTCCCAGGATGGGTGACATAGGTGAAGGGGATTAAGTGGTGGTTTTATCTTAACTTGGCTGGATGGGAAAGTTTGCTAAGAGTAAACTCTTTTGAGTTAGAATAAATAATATACTTTGGCTTCTTCCCCAATGGAAAACTCTTTCCTTGATCAACTTTTCTGGAGGCCAAAGGTGAATAAGACACAATATGTCCTCAAGAAGCACCACATTAGGTTGTGTTACTGACTAAAAGCAGATGCTAGATTATTTCTATCACAATAAAGAACAATTAGAAAACTTTACTTTTGTTTATGTGTTTTTTTGGCCTAAATTCTAAAGCTCAACATTTATTTCTGTCTTAATGCCTTGACTAAAGGTGTTAACATGAGAAAATGTTGACTGTATTTGTTCTTGGGGAAAAACTGCAAGACTTCTGAAATTTGAATAGTTTTATAAAATTCAAATCTAATTTCAGTTACTAAAGGTCTTTTCTCTTATACTGGTTCACAATGAGCATACATCAGAATAATCTGGAAGGCTTGTTAAAACACATTGTTGGGCCACACTTCCAGAGTTTCTGATTCATTAGGTCTGGGTGGAGCCTGGGGATTTGTGTCTCTAATAAGATCCCAGGTGATACTGGGGTTCTAGGGACACATTTTGAATACTATTAGTTCATAAGAATAGTAACTAAATGCCTTTAGAGACATGTCTGGTGGTTGATATGTGGGAAAAAAACAATTTTCCCTGTTACAGATTGGCCTTGAGCCTGGTATAACAGTCTAACATAGCTTGCTTTGATGGTTTTAAACTTGAGTTTAATACATGCCTTTTTGTATCAATATATCTGTATTCTAAGGCTGATTTTTCAGAAGTAGAAATTTTGTCTCTGGGTTTCTCTTCACCTTGTGCTTAGCACAACCCTATGCACAAAGTCTATTAGTCGTTGGTACTTTTCACTAGCTACTCTTACCTGTGGCCCTGGGAGTAGGCAGTGATCTGGGCAAGTGATGCCCAGTTAGGAAACAAAACTATTATGCTAGGCCTTTTGGTGCTAGAGTTTAGCATTTTCTCCCTTGAACTTGGTTCACTTGCTATTTTTGTGACATTGCTAGGGAAGTGAAGGAGCAAAATGAAAATCTATGCATGGTATGAGAGAAAAATGAAAATATTTGTTAAGCTGGACTTGTGCAATATAAAGGAGATTAAGTCTTGAAGCCCTTACCTGTACAAATCGGAACTCTCTCCAGTTGACCATATTGCTAACTGATGGCAAAGATGTGATTCCCAGGAGTACAAACAGGAAAAACCCAAGGATTCCCAAAGCTACGTAGGAATCACTAAGCCAGGCAGTAGAAGTGCTAAATAGATCTTGTGTCTTGGCTGTTGCCTAAGAAAAATTATAAGTAATTTTAAAAAATTACGTTTTTTTACAAACTGCCCAAACCTCTAAGGGAACTGAAAAATACGTCTGCATGGTATATTTGCTTAAGATAAATTGTATGTATTTCTTAATAATCACTTGAAAATAACTGAAGAGAAAAATATACTTGGAAGTGATATTTCTTGGTAGGAAAAGTAATTGGTTCTGCTGGGACTTTATTATAATAGTTGACTCCAGGAGTTGTGTAGAAAGTTTTAATTGACCCCATAAATTTGAAAACAAAGTAAGCATTTACTTAAACCTTCTTTACTATATGGCTTTTTGTTCCCCAAGCAAAACTTGATGTTCTCAAATGATTATACCAAGGTTTCTCTTTTTCTGCCTTACATGCTGATTATTCACACACACGAAGCTTGGGTTCTTTCATGTTTATTTGTGTTGTAATATAGCATCAAGTCTGTCACACCACAGATTGAGAAAAATCAGGTCCTTAAAATGGGACTCTTACCCAAGAACTTCCCATGTATTTGTCAGGGAAATAATGTAGAGAAATCCACAGAAGTACCATCAATAAGTTATTGACTCATAAACTTTGAGAATGCAGTAAGATTGATCAAAACCAATTATTTCCAAACTAGAATGGATGGATAGCACCTCCTCTGGGACTGCTTTCAGACTCTCTAAGCTGATTCTCTCTGAATTTTTGACTATGCAGAAAATAGTATTTGACATTTGCCCAGAATTGTTCAGTTTTCTAGTTTTTGAGGATGGCTCTCCTTGAGTCAAACATTAATGAAGTTATAAGCACCCTTTGTGAATTTGTTTACCTTCCTGTGACACAGGTTTGAACAGCCCCCTTATTTATAAGATGGTTGGTTTTGACTCCCATGTATAAAAATAGAAGTTTGAAAACACATTGGTTTACATTTATTGACTGTACCCCTCCACAAGGAATTCGAGTAGGTGTTATTAAGTTTCCTGAGCCCCCAAATCTGTCAGTTTGCCAGTATTCCAGTGAGTCTTGTAAATCTAAATTTCATTCTCAATAGTTGTACAAGATCTCAACTGAATTCATTAAAAAACCAAAACCAAAACCAAATCAACAACAAAAGAAAACAACCAAAACCAGACAGCAGCTCTAGTTACTTTAAAAAATAAAGATGTGGCGATCCCCGGGTGGCTCAGCGGTTTAGCACCTGCCTTCGGCCCAGGGCATGGTCCTGGAGTCCTGGGATCGAGTCCCGCATTGGGCTCCCTGCATGGAGCCTGCTTCTCCCTTTGCCTGTGTCTCTGCCCCTCTCTCTCTGTGTCTCTCATGAATGAATAAATAAAATCTTTAAAAAAACAATAAAAAAATAAAAAATAAAGATGCTTAGAAAGTGATTTTTCTATAATTGTAAAGTGTAATATGATGTAGCAAGATTTCTCTTTGAGTTAAGGAACTGGAGAATATAAATGAGTAGAGATTTACCTGGGTAATGGTTCTGTTTTTCAGTGTCCATCGTACATAATAACGGATAGGAATCACAAGTGTGTAGAGGACATGGAGGAAGGCAAATCCCAGAGCTACCAAGCCAAGCTGCTTTCTGCAAAGCATCCAGTGGTCAAGCCAGTCTGGGAATCGGCGGTATTTTGTACCTCGGTACAGTTGCAGAATGGCAGCAATAACACCAGGGAGGTAAACCAAGGCAAGCAGTGTAAGTGCTGCTATCGGAAAGATACGATTTGGAATGGAAATAGCCAAGCGAAATGTGATATCTTTCTTGCTATTAACATAAGGGTAGATTATATCTCTTATAACACAGTAGAAGAAGAAGAAGACACATAGAATAGCAGACAAATAGAAGGGGAACTTCCACATTGGAAATAGTTGCAGGGGGTAGTTTTCAATTTCTTTGGCTGCCATGAGAGATCCTTGATCCAGTGGAGTAAGCCCAAGAGTACGAACAATATCCATCACTCTTTGCTTGGCATGGCTATCATTTCCGCAGACAAACACCTGGGTGAAGAATAATTAATTAATAAATAATTAAATAATACTTATTTTTTGTTAATAGTTACCTTGAAAGTCTATATAAGCACTGTGCAGAACAAGGGCATGCTTTTCAAACAAGGATGGTAGACACAACATGTTTTAAACTTGCACAGGTGTGCTGGATATTTAAGCACTAAGGTTTAAGTTGAGGGTGTTTTTAAGTAGATTGACCTGATATAATAGGACCTGGTTCTCCACAGGGTGAAGGGTTTGATTTTTCTTCTGTATTTGTGGGTGCTACATCATCTATGGATTACCTTAATCACAGTGAATAAATGGAACCAGTTTCATACAGTGTAATGGGAATGGAAAGGATATCCATCAACAATTTAACTGTGTTATTTTTTAGTACTTACACAAGGCCTCTGGAGCCTGACCCCACTGGGTTCCATCAATCTAAAAGTTGAGGGTGCTGACAGTGGGCATAAACCACAACAATCGACTGTTTTACTTAGTTAAACCCAAGAAAATTATACATGGCATGTATTAGCAAACTGACATGTAGTGTGTATTTTATTTTGGAATTCTATGTTGGCGTCTTTGAGGTAAGTGCCCATTACAACATTCACTTTTTAAAGATTGAGTGTAACTTAATCCTTTAATTTTACCTGCCGACTTGCATCCAGTGTTCCAGACTGGAGAGCCCAGGCTGAGATGGTGTTAAATGCTTTTACTATGTGGGCTCCTGGCACCAAATGAGCAAGGTACTCTGCATTAGATTCTGGATACTGATTGATTTTGAGGTTGTTGCTGATGTCAACCAGTATTTTTCCTTTGAGCACCTCAGTTAGTTCCTTGAGAAAATCATAATGTTCTCTGTGGACTGCTATGATTATGATATCCGATTTCTGGGCTGCTTCTGAATAGCTGAAGATCTCTGCACCATGGGGCAGCAGACTGGACTTCTGGGGGTTTCTACTTCCAAAAACAATAGAATAATTACACTGGAGCATTTTAAATGCTAGTGATCTTCCAAAATCTCCAGTTCCAAAAATGCATACAGTCTCTTGCTTTTCTGAAGAATATATAATAGAAGGAAATGCATCTGTAGAAGTTTTTTCCATAACTGAAAGATAATAACAGAAATGGGAAACAAATATGAAAGCTCAACATGGAACAACTATTGTCATATATATTCTCATATGTGTCTTATTGAACAAAATCACTGGTCAAAAACTTCTTTTGTTGTATAGAGATGCAATGAAAAACCAGGACACTTATTGGCAGATGCTTTAAACTTATATGGACATGTGTTGCAATGATACTGTGTTTGTCCAATACTTAACAGTTAGAAGAGTTCTCAGAGCAAAATCTAACAAAGAATTCACTAGTAAGGAAATTGTAGAGCAATTTACTTATATTTCATGATACAGAAAATCCTAAATAAGACATTAGCAAACAGAATCCAGCAGACTGTTAAGAGAAAATGTACATTGATCAAATGCAGATTATTTTAGGAGTGTAAAGATGAATTCTGTAAATTCAATATTAGAAAAATCTACTAATATAGCTTACCATATTTAGAAGACTTAAGGAGAAAAACACAGTCATATTTATGGATGCTGAATGGGCATGTGTTAAAATTTGACATTTATTTTTGACTTATAGTTAAAAAGGAACAGATAGGTATTTCCTTAACATACAAAGTATCTTTCTCAACCTAAACTCTAGTATCTAACTTAAAAAATAATTACCAAGAAAAATTATTAGAAACACTCCCTGAAAAGTCATTAGTCAAACAACCATGTCTGCTTTAACCACTTTAGTTAGTATTGTTTGGAAATTCTAGCTAACATAACTGACCAGAGAAATTCCAACTATAAAAACTCAAAGGGAGTTGTGAGTGATGAAACCAGTTTCTCAAAACTGGAAAAAGTCAACTGAAAAGGTACCATACATATAGAGTCAACCCAACATCTTGTTTAGGAACCCAATTAATATCAATATTTTTCATATATTAAAAAATTGGTTTGAAGATTTAATAGAAGAAAGGGCCCTACTTAAAGCTGCAACAAAATAGAGAAAATATTTAGGAATAAACTTAACAAGATAACAAGACAGATACATGATCTACATGAAGAGAAATATAAAATTCTACCCAGAGAAGATTTATGTAAATGGAAAGGTACAGCATGTTCCTGGATGGGCAGGCTCAGTTTTATGCAAATACCAATTTTCCTGAATTTAATCTCTAAATTCTGAACAAGAAAGTACTGAATAGGGGCTAGTTCTATTAAATATTAAATATTTAATATCTAAATATTATAAAGCTAAAATAATGAGGTAATATGGTGTTATCACAGGAATAGAAAATGTTTAGTGAAATAGAGTAAAAAATATAGAAACTGACCTAAGCACATATGATAAAGATGTCATCTCAAGTCAGTGAGAAAAAGGTTGATTATTCAGTAGCAAATATTGATTGGGACAACTAAATAGCCAATTGGAAGAAAAGGTTGAATCTATACCTCATACTCCTGGTACAAGGAAAATTTGAAATATATTAACGATTTAAATTATCTATCTATCTACCTACCTACTTTAAGTAGAACTACAATAAAAGTAGAAGGAACCATGCAGAATTCTTTTATAACTTGAAAAGCCTCTTTCCTATATCACAGATCCCTGAAACCATGAAAGAATAAAGGGCTAAATAAAAATACAAAGTATGTCTCTCAACCTAAATGTAGTATCTAACTTAAAAGTAAAAATTGTCATTTATATTACATAAAAAATGTGATTTCGTAAAAAACAAATACCTGCAAAGCAGAAACCACTGTAAGCAAAGTCAGAAGATCAACAAACTAAAAAATATTTGTAATTCCTACAGATAAAAAAAGATTGCCCATTAGAAAATTGGACAAAGAATATAACTTTCATCCTAAGGTGATGCAACAATAGTAAAAAAAATCTTAATCATATCCAAAATAAAAGAAATGCAAGATAAAATTAAATAGAAATACTGTTATAAAGCATGTGAGTTACTTTTTTAAAGTTTTTGAAATTTAAATTAAAAACAATCCAAGTAAATGTTTTCAAAGTTCCTATGGTCCAATAGAATAATCTAGGTTGTCCTGAAGTATATTATTTTTTCTTTCAGTAATGAATTTTTCTCAAAAACTTTATTTTAAATAACATTTATTATTTACTTTAAATTTTTCTTTCTTTTCTTTTCTTTCTTTCTTTCTTTCTTTCTTTCTTTCTTTCTTTCTTTCTTTCTTTCTCTTTTCTTTCTTCTTTCTTCTTTCTTCTTTCTTTTTCTTTCTTGTCTCTTTTGTTCAGTAATGTATCCGCAGTGTTAACAAGAGCACTGACTATGACAGACTAGGCACTTGAAAAAATTTGTTGAATATTAAAAAGGTGGAATGTAGGTGTTGGAAATAACTGTTTGCTTCGTGTGCCAGGCACAGTGTGGGCACATAATGAAGAGGAAGTTGAATGATTAAAGTGTAGCCCCTAGGAAGAATAAAGGAGAAAAGAAGTTGGGAGGGTGTTGTGAAGACATCGCTTCTTTCACCCAAATGGTTTTAAAGTAATCCTCAGTGAATTTGCTGTGGAATTTTAAACTAGATGTAGTCACTATTCAATTCTTTTTTTTTTTAAAGATTTTATTTATTTATTCATGAGAGAGAGAGAAAGAGAGAGAGAGAGAGAGAGAGAGAGAACGACTGAGGGAAAAGCAGGCTCCATGCAGGGAGCCTGAAGTAGGACTCAATCCCAGGGCCCCAGGATCACACCCTGGGCTGAAGGCAGACGCTTAACCGCTGAGCCACCCAGGTGTCCCACTATTCAATTCTTCCATGGTGGATTTCATGCCGACTGTAGAGCAGATGAAGCTGACACCTTTTTAATGGGATTTCAGAAATTTGCCCTTTCCTTCATAGACTATGGAAAACACCCATATTCTTACCTGAGTTTATGCAAAGATGTGTCCCTGTATCACAAGCAGATCATTTAGAGCTTTCAAGTATTCAGAAGTCATGGAAGAAATGAACAAGAAATACAAGACTTTCCTGCACTTCCACAGGAACTCTTTGAATAATTGAATTAATCACCACAACTAACTCACTTTTAAAACTAGCTGGTGAGTGATATCTTGAACTATGTCAGAGAAAGGCATGAGCACATGTGGAGAAGCACCTGATGATGATACGTGGCCTTTCATATGGAAACATAGCTGAGCTGTTGAGAAATTCTTAGTAGCATCTGCAAACACAAACCAGTTTAGCAATTTATATTATATTGGCTGCTAATCGGTTAACACCTTCTTGTTATAACTTAAATCTCTCAAACTGGTGAATGAAGCCTTGATTATTGTGAATGTGTTCAAAGAATGTCAGTTGGCAAGCTATCCCCTCACCTTTTATTGAATCTTTTTTTCCCTCCTATGTTATTTTTCTCTCTCATAATCAGATGAACATTTGCAAGCAAAATACAGATTTGATAAAGTTACCAGTGTCCTGTAATGAGATGGATGATATCTTTATTGACATATTCTCACTTGGATCATTTTAATTAATTCAAAGAGAGTGATTCCAGACTATTTTGACAATTTGGCAACTACCTTAATTTATTCTAACCTGTCATAAACTTTTTTTTAAACGGAGATATCAACTAAAGAGCTCTTTTTTTGGGGGGGGGGTACAGCTCTTACTAGCACTATCAGCTTGAGTAAATTACTCAAACTCTTGGTGTCTCAGTTTCATCATCTTTCAAATGAGAGATTGATAGTACCTACTTTGGCGACTGTGAGAATTAGATGAAATAATGTTTGTTTTGTTTTGTTTCTTAGAGAGAGAGGGAGAGAGAATAGAGAAAGAGAAAAGGGGGAGAGGAGAGAATCCCAGGCAGGATCCATGTCCAACACAGAGCCCCATGTGGAGCTCGATCTTACAACTCTGAGGTCATACATGACCTGACCTGAAATCAAGTCAATCACTTAACTGAGCCACCCAGTTGCTCCATGGATTAATGTATCTTAAAACAGTTCTTGAGACATAGTAAGTACTCAGTAAATTGGCTATCATTAATAGATTATTCAAGTATCTAGTGATTTTCTAATTTTCCAGTCTATTAATTACCTAATTAATATAACCTTTATACAAATTCTATAAATTAAGGGTTAATTGTGCTTCTATAACTGATTATTGGAAATATTTAAAATTTATCTGAAATAGTATTCAATAATTCTTAAGAAATTTCTGCTTTCCCCACTTACTGCTTACAAATAAAATCTTATATGAAACGGCTTTAGAACATACAAGTTTATCAAAACACAGATGTATAAACAGCTCAAGAGTGAATTTCTCTCATTTGTAATTCTTACTCATTTTAATATTTCCTTCTTAAAATGCAGGTTGGCAATCCAGTGTAAACACACTTGGACTGTTACCAACCATTGAAATTATTTTTACTTTCTTAAATTTTCAGAGTTATCACTGGACAAACTGGAGATACAAAGACAGTAGGAAGAGGAAGATATAAAATAAAATATCACTTACTTAAAAAAGAAATACAGTCATTCCATTGGGCAATTAATTACTCCTTATCAAGTTATAGAAGTTCTAACGTTGATAATTGTGTTGACCATCTTGAGCTCCTCCTCTCCACATCCTCCTGGTTTTACTTCCAGTTACTGGGCAGTAATGGAGCTCTGCTGAACTCCCTCTGCCCAACAAAAAGACTTGCTTCAGGGACCCACATCTTGTATCTCTTGATTCTTGTCCCAAGGCTTCTCTGATACCTTTTTCTGCTTAACTTTCACACATGTATGACCCATGGGGCCAGCATTGACCAATGGGGGATGGGACTCCAAGGATAAATGCTTACCCTTTCATCTTCTGGCACTCAGTTCTGACACATTTTATAAGGCTCCTCAGAAAGTCCCAGTGAATTTAGCACAACTCCTCTGTAGTAGTGGCCTACTTAATGTTTTTTCCCACGATCTTTCTCACGTTCCTGATTTATGCTTCTTGCCCTCACTCCTGCTCCTTGGAATCACTTCCCTGGTAAACTATCTGCATGCAAACCTTTGTCACAGGCTCTACTTGCAAATCAACCCAGGATAATACAACTTTTCGATAATTTATTTTTCTGGAAAAAGAAAAAGGTTTCCATAACTGGGATGATGGAATAACATGTGAAAAATAAAAAGTTAGTAATTCTTTGGAAGAATTTCACCCTGAACTCTTGGAAAAAATTCTAATAAAAGGAGTTCATAAAAATGAGATGTATGCATAATCTAAACCACAAGGGAGATCAAGTTGAGGGTATGTTTTACAGTAAGTACTATGTAAAAAAGGAAGTTATGCCTATTTCTGACTATTTATAACTCAAAATTGCTCCCATGTGTAAACATGGATTAATGGAGGTAGTAAGATTTCTTATGCAACGACTTAAAAAAAGTTTCATAATCCTAGTTTACTCTTAGATGTAGGAGGAAGGAATAAAGAAAATAAGAAAGGTGGTATACAGGTAGCAGAGTTATTAAGGGGAAGAAGGATTAAGATAGTTAAAACATAGCATGGTGATTTCTTTTTCCTTCTGCTTTTTACAAATCTCAGTTCTGTGTAACAGAAAACACAACAAGAATACCCCCTAGATTGGAAAAGCTCCAGGACTGATTTTTGTCTCCTATGGAAGCATCTCCCACAGAGGCTCCTGGAGACCAGGGCCAAGACAGGTAAAGTGATCCTACTGGGTATTCATATAGATTAAGAGATTGGTAATCAATAGTGCAGATGCAAAGGTGTTGAAGATGACTTTGAAGCCATGGTAGCAGCTGCCAGAGAATCATGTGTGCGTGTCTCTGTGTGTATGGCATTAGATGGGGAACCAGGTGTGGCTCATGTAGAGTCTTGCCTGTCGTCTCCCTTGGTCTGCAGATTCCCACCCCAGGCTTGGGGAACCTGAGGTGGCATTCTTTGGGATATTCCAACTAGATGTCCCATAAGGATCCTAGGGTTTGTCTGGCTTTTGCATTTTACTTCTATCACCCCCCCAGAGGTCAGAGATTAGGGAGGCCCTGGCTATTTCCAATTTAAGAGGATTCTAGCATATTAAAAACATGGAAATGTCCAAACGAGATAACAAAAATTGCATTTTTAAAATGTTTACACTTAACAAATCAATGCTATTAATGATAGAATAATTTTATTTGAAATGGTTATAGACTCACAGGAAGTCCTAAAGCTAGTACAAGAGGTTCCTGTGCATCCTTCATTTGCTCTACTGGCTACACTGTACATAGCAATAGTGCAGTATCAAAACTGGGATATTGACATTGGTGTAATGTGTGCATATGTCATTTTATCCCATAGGTAATTCATGGATCCACTGAGGTTAATCAGGATACAGAGCTATTCCAGCACTACCCTGTGATTGTTGTACTTGCCCTCTTCCCTGCGCTCCTAACCCTTGGAAACCATGCATCTGTTCTTTAAATCTCTAATTTTGTCATTTTTGAAATGTTTTATAAATGAAATCACACCAAATGTGATCTTTTCATAATGGCTTTTTTTCCCATTTCACATAATGCCCTTGAGGTCTATCCACTTTGGTATGTGTATCAGTAAGTTCCTTTTTATTGTTCAGTAGTGGTCCACTGTACGGACTTCATTTGCTTATTTTTGATCTATAGGCCATTTGGTGAAAAGTCATCTCACCTTATACCATCTTCCAGTCAGATTTTTATGTTTTAGCTGTTGAATTTTTATATATTCTAGATATGAATTATTTGTCAGATATGTGGTCTTCAAATATTTCATCCCACTCTGTGGCTTGTTTTGTCATCATCCTAGCAGGGTTATTGATATAGCAGAAGTTTTAAATTTTGATTAAATTTAATATATTGCTTTTTTTCTTTTATGGATTGTGCTTTTCATGTCATATATAGGAATTCCTCACTTAAACTTTGGTCCTGAATATTTTCTCCTCAAAGCTTGATAGTTTTATATTTCACATTTAAATCCATTATCCATTTTGAGTTAATTTTTATATAAAGTCTGAGGTTTAAGCCAAGTTTATTTACTTTTTTTGCCTATGAATATCTAATTGCTTCCCTACCTGTTGTTTAAAAGGCCATCCTTCTTTCATTGAATTGCTTTTGTACCTTTGTCAAAAATCAGTTGCCTGCACATGTGTGGCTCTATTTCTGGCCTCTCTATTCTGTTCTATTGATCTATGCATCTGCTTTCTGCCGATTCTAAGTAGCTTTGATGCCTTAAAATTAGGTAGACTGATTCTTCCCACTTTATTTTTTTTTTAATTTTCAGAATTGTTTCAGATATTCTAGTTGCTTTGCCTTTCAATGTAAGTTTTAGGATAATCTTG